CCACTCACTACCCTCCTCCTCCCCGACAGTCCGTCGGTCGAGTGCCTCTTCCTGGAAAGTTGCGCTCCACTTTCAAAACGAGGACGTTTTCGCGTCGCGGCCGCACACACGACGCCAGCGTAGCCGCTCGGAGCTTCGGCGCGGCGTCATTTTGTCGTCGGAGGTGAGTAGTAGACGCTCTCACGGCATCCGAGGTTCAACCTTCGGCTCACGTGTTGATCCTCGGATCATATCCGGATCGACCGCACGTACGGCTTTTGTTTGATGGAGACATTGTGTGTGCGAGGTGTGTGCATGTATTTATGTATTGTGGGGACATTTCATCGGAATACACACCACACGATGAGGACATTTTGAGTTATCAAGACACAGCCCATGGCCTCATGATTCTGACAGTGCACAAGTGTCTTTTGTAATCGTTTGATTCTGAAAGATTCCACGTGAGAGCATTTTGCTGGGATTTATTTTGGCATTTGGGAATCGTTCATCCTCAAAGTGTGGACAAACAACTCTCCAACTGAATTCCCTCTTGCGAAAAAGTGGGATATTATTGTGAGTGATTTGTTGACCGTGGGGTAACGTTTGACTTTGCCATTCGCATTTGGCGAATTTTTTTTCCTCTCTGCACGGATTTAGCTTTGTGGCCATTTCGTCGACAGGTTTTCCCTCTTCTCCAAAACTGAAAGTGAGCTCGTGTTACCGGTCGTCGTATTCCAGAATTGACTCCCAAGTGCTAACATTTGTCTTGGCTGTTGGCATTTACGAACGATTTCTTTGCAGAGTGGACATCGTACGGGCTACGTGACGTTCTTTCGATCCGTTTTCAAAAGCGAATGTGAAACCACAAACGCAGTTTCCATTTGTTTGTTTCTCATTTTTTTTGGGTGCGGAATCCAAAACGGAGGTCGGGCTGTGGAGCGATAGCATCCCCCGTTTTCTGAAACAATATGAAATTACATGTTCGCGTCGAAGTAAAACGCTATGACGGAATCGTTCCAAACTTTGAGAATAATTTTTAAAAAGGTCTGTGAAGAGAAAAGCCAGGACGAATCGTTTCCAGATCTCGACCTATATGGAGCGGCACACAGCCTAAAAACCAAACTCAACAGATTTTTGGGCTTTCAATCATGTTACCCTTCCTCTGAAAAATGAACGATTCTCAAACGAGCCCGTCTTTCTTTTTACGTTAGCAGTATGACATCATGCTGACTTCATCCATCCCACAGCCAGCGAATGTCAAGTGCGAAAAGCCAAACGGGTGGGATTTTGATGACGGCCGACGTCGAGGTTCATCGGGCCGAAAGATTCCAGCACGACGTTGTATTCTTATCGGATCGGCGGCGATTTCGAAGCGCCCTTGTTGTGAGAAATACGCCCCCCGCCAAAATGGGGAAGTATCCGGTGAGCGTGTTCATTGCGCTGCCTGTCAGGGATGTTGTGAAATGCTCAAAAAGTGGCGCAATAAACCTCCTCGTGTCCTCGTCCTCGACCGGCGGCAGCGGCAGAGGAAACATATGGCGGTGGCTGGAGTGCAGTCCTTGCGACACCATTGCGTGTGCCTTCGCGCCACTTCCTGCCGGGCGCAAATGCCACCCACTGGGTGTCTGCATGGATGGAAGAAAAATACGCAAAGGACATTTGAGATCTCTCTCTCTCTCTCTCTCTCTCTATAGATGTAGATATAGATATAGAAACCTGTATATGTATATATATTTTATATTTTATTTTATATTTATTTTTATTGTTATTTTTTTATTTTTTTTTATTATTATTTATTATTATTTATTATTTTATTTATTTTATAAATTTTTTTTGATTTTTTTTTTTATATATAAAGAGAGAGAGGGTGACGTGTTTCCTCTACTGCAGTGAAATCTTGCATGCTGGTGCTATTTAGATTTTTTAAAATTATTTTTGTGTGTATGTGTCTTTTTTTTTGGTAGTTTTCGTTTTTTTTGGGGGGGGCTAAAACACATGAAAATTTCTTGCATATACATCAGTGGTTTTTTTTTGAAGAATGAATTTGTGACCAAAAAAAGAGGGGAGAAAGAAAATAAGACGCCATATGAAGCTGTGTTTTGGGGGGGGATTAAAAGAAAAAAAATTCATCTTTTTTTTTCTGGAGAAAATCAGGCATTATCGTTCAAAAAATGAAAAAGAAAGAGTCATTTTTAGATTTTATTCAAATTGTTTTTTTTTTTCAAAAAAAAAGGCCAAGTATAACAAGATTGAACACTTATATTTTTTAGTCTTTTTGTTTCCAACTGAACCCCCCCCC